GCTCACCTCTTCAGGATAGAAGTACTGCAGGTGATGCAGAGGGAAGACAGACTCAAATCCTTCCCTAAACGACTCAAACTGCCGAGAGACGCCCTCATTGAGTGTCCAGTAGACCACCAACTACAGACAGACGAAACAAGAGGCGGTGAAGTAAGAGCGGTTTATTCAGGCTATACAAATGATGACGTGTCAGGTTATTCAGTTCCCTACTCTGAGGTATTCCTCCAGGTTGTGAATGGTGACTGGCACGTCTTTGCCCCCTTTCTTCAACTCGATGTTTGGGAATCCAGGCAGAGTGAAGTCCAGGCCCAGATCTTCCACCGAGCAGCCGTTCATGTTGAGACTCTCCAAGGCCTGCTGTAGGGTCTCCCGTGTCTGACAAATACAGACAGTTACAATACAAAAAAACAGTCCAGGTGTTGGTTGGTTTTGAATGTTTCATGTCTCCATGTGTCATGTAGTTAGCGGCCAGTGCTCACGTGTGATCGGTCCTGCTCTATTCTCTTCTTCTGGCGGATGATGTCCTCCAGGTGCTGGATGGATTTGGCGACACCAGGATCAATGTTGACCAGGTCATGAGAGCTGACGGAGGACTCGTGCCTCAGCATCCACTTATAGAATGGAAAACCTAGAGGCAAGTCCAACTAGAGACAAAAAAAACACACCTCAATTAACAAGATGCAATGACATGATATTCTCGTTGTGTCTGGAGGTATTAAATGATTGGGAAAAGCAAACAAACTGAGCTTCATTCCAAAAAACTTGCACTGTTCTGTGCAAACCAAAACCAGAGCAGGAGCTAATGCTGCGTGTGTTTGTGTGTTGCAGTGATGATATTAGTTATCGTATGACTATTTTACCAGCAGAAGAGGAAGGTGTCATGGTGTCATGTTTTCACTGCATGATGAACATGGCCAAAAGACTACACAATAATATTATTGCTATATCTATAGAAGTTTGGAAAAACAATGTCACTCAAATTCATCTTTTTATCACACTTTAAATACGAGTGTAGGAAGGCAGAGAGTGAGTTTGTAACCATAACTGCACAAAAGCATACAAAAAGTTAATTTTTGTCTGTTTTATGATGGGTGGCAACCAGCATTAAGGTGCAATACTGCCATCTACTATGTTGGAGTGTCAAGCAGATTGTTACTAGAACTTGTGTAGTTTTCACATATCAATATTTCATTTTTT